ATATATATATATATATATATATATATATATATATATATATATATATATATATATATATATATATATATACATTTTTTTTTAACTTTTTGAGCTATTTTTAATGAGATTCGAAAAAATATTTAAATGCAATTAAAATAATAAATTTTAATTTAAAAACATCTTTTACCAAAACTTAAAATACATCACACAATGCTTTGTAATAGTTATAGATGGCTCCCCCTCTGAGCTAAAAAAGAATTTCAAAAACAAAAAATTAGTTTGCGTCTTGGCTTTTAGTTAATGATTAAGATATTAAATTCCATTAATGAAACTATATATTAGTTATTGTTAACAATAGACACGACGTGAACGTAAGCCAGAGTCGTCTATCAAAAAAAATTGCAAGTTCCATTACTCGCTATATATATTTTATGCAAAGTTCCACTACTCGATATATATATCTTTTGCAAAGTTCCACTACTCGCTATATTTTTTTTTTTGCAAGTTCCACTACTCGCTATATATTTTTTTTGTAAGTTCCACTACTTGCTGTCTATTCTATCTATTACTTTTTTTAAATAATTAGAATAATATGCTTACCAGAATTGTCAACTGAAGAGTCTGCTGAATACAAAAAATACAAATTATATAAAAATTTGAATATCACAACAAAATTTTATAACTTCAAATTTTCAAAACTTTTTTTTTATTAAAAAACCAAACATTTTAAAATATTACAAGTTACCATACCTATGTTAGAAGTTAAAGCAACAACTAAAAATTTAAAATAATATAAAAAAATAAGTTATAATTGCATATAAATTTAGTAATTTTAAATAATTCTCATATATAATCATACCAGTATCGGAATCTGGAGATACAGCTAAAGAAAATAATTAAAATTATTAGGTAAATCTAAATGACAAATTGAAATTATATATATTTTTGAGTTTCAAGCCTGAATAGCAAACTAAAATAAAAATATCATAAGATAAACTTTGTTTTTTAAAATTTATTATTTGAAATAATTGGATATTCTCATCTGAATTGACAACCATAAAAGAAAAATTTTTATAATTTATTATTATTATAAAACCTGGAAAGAGAAAATCTTAATTGAGGAACTTGATGAAGGTTTCACTAAAGAATAACAATAATTATAAACCTAATTATTAAAAAAATTAGTAATAATACAATTTTCAAGTTTGTGCTTTATATACACAAACTATATATTCAAAATTAGGTTTTATAAAATAAATTGCACATTAAATTTTTTACATCCAAAAACAAAATTTACTTACAAGCGTTAACTAAATTGTCTACAAAATAAATAACTAATAGTAAATAAATCTGAGATTGAAAGAGAATAATTTATTTTTTAATAAAGTATTAGACGATACAATAAAATGCATACTTATTGTATTCTCCATAGTGTCTAATTAAACAAAAATAACCGATTGTGAAGAAATAATTTAAAAAAAAAAGTAATAAATATAATAATGGTTTTTATTTTTATTTTTGCTAGTTCAATACAGTTGCGTTTTATTTTTATTGTAATTTACATTGTTATATTATATTATTATAAGATTATATAAAATATAATAAATAAAATAACAAAATAGCTTTAATTTTAATAGAATTAAGAATAGAATCAATAAATTAGAATTACTAACTAAATATTTAAATAAATAATAACTAGATAACAAAATAGAATTACGAACTTATTTTTTCATATAAGCTCTCAATAGCTTGTGCATCTAAACAATCATAACAAAGGAACTATTTCAAACAATGTATATCAGTTTTTTTTATGCAAGATATATATATATATATATATATATATATATATATATATATATATATATATATATATATATATATATATATATATACATATATATATATATATATATATATATATATATATATATATATATATATATATATATATATATATATATATATATATATATATATATATATATTTATATATATATATATATATATATATATATATATATATATATATATATATATATATATATATATATATATATATATATATATATATATATATATATATATATATGTATATATATATATATATATATATATATATATATATATATATATATATATATATATATATATATATATATATATATATATATATATATATATATATATATATATATATATATATATATTACTGTTACCCGCAGTATCAGGAATTAGCTAAATGCTAATATTTATAACATTATATTGCGATCTAAAGTTTCATGTGTTACCACAATCGTCAGGCAAGTAGTCAAAAATTAATTTTGCTACAATGTGTTTAGAAAAAATTTACGGGTTATATTAGTATTTTAGGTCGTTATGGGACGGAAATAGTTTAGTAGTTAAGGTTAATGTTATTATTAAGCCATCTTTCAGGAAAAACTAGAACAATTATTAAGTTATTTATAAATGTCTTAATAGTATTAACTATTTCTTAGTATTTATGAAGACCAAAAGTTGGATAGGAAAAGATATATAAGAACAAACGTTGACGAAGACTACAGTATGAGAGTACTGGATGCAAACAGGAGAAAAAAAAAACTAGATAAGTTGAGAGAGAAAGAACTAGAAAGACAAAAAAACGTAAAAGATATCAATGATGTTTTGTTGTCACATGACTCCATGACAGAAGAGATTCAATTCAGCAGTGAAGAAGAAAAGCCAAACGAGGACTCTGAAATCAGCGAGGAAGAATATTTCCTGGATAAGGATCGGAAACGCAGGTATAGTATTATTTTAATATTATAGTTGTAATTTTCACAAGCTAAAACTGTTTTATTGAAAAGTATATAACTATAAATAGGTAGAAAAGTATTATAAAATGATACCTAGGTACAATTCTGGAGATAGGATAAATATAGCAGTGAATGTTGAAAAGCTCATTGAATGTACTGCTATTCCAGCAACAAGGTTCAATGTTGGTGTACGACCTCATCTGGCAATTTTAAGTGAAGTATTTAAAGCTGGAGGTATAGAAATTAATGATATACCGCTTTCAGAAGCACACTTTATAAAAAAAAGTTCAAATATGTAGAACTTGAAGGAGACTCGGAGTGGATTTCAATATCTAATCATCTTAAAGGCCGACGGCTTATTCTTCATTTTGATACCAAACCGTTGCAACAAATTTCCACTGGGCTTAACATTATTCAAAAAATCGATCAATTTGCTATATCAGTGAGTTCCCCTGATGACGATACCATGAAAGACCATCTTTTAGATGTTGTTCAATGTCCCTATTCAAAGAGAGTTGACCAAGCACAATCTTTTAGAATATTACGGATGTAAAGAGCAGATCATTGGTATATGCTATGATACAACTGCAAGCAATACAGGCGGAGTCAATGGAGCAGTCCAAATTTTTACAGATATTTTGAAAATAACAATTTTGTGGATAATGTGTAGGAGACACATATATAAAGTACATGTATCTCACTATATGCACTATATGGGTGCTCTTACTGGTGAGAAAACTTAAGGTCCAAAAAGAGCTCTTTATGTCAAGCTAAAGAACAAGTGGCCTGAAATCTGTGAGAAAGTTAATAAAGTGAAAAATTTATGTAAATTAGACTGGCAAAGAGATGATCTGAAGATTGGCTCTGTTCTTCGCACTGTTGCAGAGGAAGCTAAGAAATTTTTGACTAATGCAAATACTGATATGGTATTTTCAGTTAATGATTATGGTATAGATTGTAAGCTTGCCTCCTTCTTCCTTGGAGCGGAAGTACAAGACTTTAAGTTCCATCAACCTGGCGTCTGCCATGAGGCATGGTTTGAGCAGATGCGGTCTCCATCCTGATTCTTTATATGACCAAAAATATCAGTAATATCTTAACGGAAAAAGAAGTGCTGCAGTTGAAGGATACAAGTTTGTTTATTGCAATTTGCTAAGTTTTATGGTTTTTGAAAAGCTTTTTAGGATTTCTAGCTCCCTACAATGATTTGAAAGCTATCCAGACAGCCAATGCATTGAGAAAAGTCAGTAATAATATTAAAAATGCTTTGCTTCTCAGCATGAAAAGCCATACGTGGTACTTAACTCCGCAACTCTGTGTTTTGTCCTTTGGGGATAAAGAAGTTTCTGAAACAAAGCTAAGAATGCTGTTAGCTCTGATTGAATTTGAAAAGCCAAATGAATTTTAGCGTTCTAAACCATTAAATGTACAATCTGGAGAGACCACAGAGCTACCTGATTTTATTTCCGAGCAAAACTACCTTCTCTTCAAACATTTTAAAATATCATTATAAGTATAAAAGAATGGCTAAATAATAATCTTAATACTATAGATGTTTTTAACCATCCTCAGTTGCTAGATTTTATTGCATGGATTAAAAACATGTCTGTTGTGAATGATGGTGCAGAAAGAAACATTAAGCTCATTAAAGATTTTATTTTATTTACTAGACATGAAGATCACCTTCAAAATGTACCTTTTGTAGTTAAAAAGTCTAGAAAAAACTTGACTAAGAGTATGACTAAAAAGGAGCTTGGGAACTGTTTAAAAAGTTAAACAGTAGAAAACAATTGGAAACGATTTATACGCATTTAATTGTTTTGTTTTTATTTTCTAAAATGTAAAAAAAATGTGTTTTCTGTTAATGTTAAGCCAGCTTAACATTAAAACAGTAAAACTCAGATTTTACATCTAACACTTTCTATCAAAATAAAACCGTCAAATTATTTTTAGTACTTATTTAGGTCACATAGAATGGGAATCAGTAGAGAGGTTTTTTCATTTTTCATCAATTGCAGTATTTGTTTTTTATTATCTTTTTTACCTTAGTTTTATCGTCTTCTGCATCAAGTGGTATGTCTAAATAATATTACTTTTTATATGTGTATCCATTTTGTATCATTTGCAATATTATTATTTTATTACAATTTTTTATCCTTAGGAACGCCTTCATCAGGTACAATTAGTAAGTTTTAAAATTTTTAATTTCTAATAATGTATGCCTTTTAAAATCAATTGCAATATTTTTCCCTTATAACAACTTTTTACAACTATTTAACCTTAGGACCATCTTCATCTGGTATTATTAGTAAGTTTTAAAATTTTACTCTCTGTTTGTGTATGCAATTTTTATCAATTCCTGACAAGAAAGGTATATGTGGCCCACATGTGGTCATAGTGCTTTCGTGTGAATTTAAAAGTGGACAAATATATTATAGGTAATGAATGACGTATTTGAAGAAGATAAGTGTGGCCCACTTGTGGAACACATAATGCGGTTCACATAACTATTCCACATAATTTGGAATAATCTTTAAATAAATACGTGCTAAATTTGATATGGCTATCATATGGGCCATAGATATAAAACTCACGATCTTGCCTTATTTTGAATTTTAAATTTTAACCAATTGTAGTAATTCTATCGCAATGCATTGTAAACTCTAGAATATTCCATGATATCATGTGGCTTACCGTTTTGATAATTTTCAATTCATAACTGTTGTAAGTATGTTTGAGCGATAAAAGTAAATATTTATAAATGAAAAAGTGTAAATATATAAAATAAAAAATAAAAGCCTAGAAGTGTTAGGACCTTTACTTTTTGTAATATACAATTTGTTATCATTACTAAACTATGTTTTTTTTAATGTGATTTTATGTGTGGTTTAGATTATACAACGGAATATTGTTAAAAGAATAATATTTAAAACTATATTATTTATATACAGGGCTTTATCAACGGGGAGGGGGGGTAATGTGCTCCCTCCCTGACAAGAAAGGTATATGTGGGCCACTCTTCAGCCAGCTTTCATTTCTTTAAGCTTATAAAGTGATTTTATTAAAAACAAGCGTAAACAAGTTAATGAAAAAAATTTTAAATAATTATTTTAACTGTAAAAACGAAAATATTTATTTAAACATGGGCTTACACTTATTGATTAGAATCAGCAAATATAAGTTTTTATTTTCTTAAATTAGATAAAATTTTACTAGGTTTTAATAATTAATATAAAATTATTTTAGACATCAACACCTACTAGCCAACCATTACTGCCAATACCACGCCATGTTGTAAGTAATAAACATGTTGCTTAATAGCAATACTTTAAGTTAAAATTTGTTAAAGTTATTATTAGATATTAAAATTTGATCAATGATTAGAATGTTTTTCGAGAGATCCAACACCAAGGCAAATCTACTCAAAACTTCGTGTCATTACCAAATGATCCTGAAGAAATAAATTTACCTTCAGTAAGCTTTTTGTAAATTTTATTTCAGTAATTATAAGTTTGCTGTTAAGTGGAACAATTATAATTGATGATCATTAAATTAAAATATGCATAAATCTAATTAATCTAGAAAATTATATTTTTTAAATTGTTTCTGTTGATATATTAATAATATATTTTGTTGGAGTTATCTCAGGAGTTCTTGCCAATCCCTCACACCGAAAACTCCACTCACACCATTACACCAATCACACAGTTAGTTGAATACCGATTGTCTTCCATCGAAAACCTACTTAACGGTGAAAAATCTTTTAAAGTAAATATTTTAATTTGTCTTTCTTTTAAATACTTATAACAATTTGATTTGATCAGATTTAGTAAAATCTGTAACTTATGCGACAAAAGAGATTAAACATCTGACAGAGCGTAAGCCAATTGGTCATACTGAAGAAAGTTTATTCAAGAAATCAAGTAACATAAAAGAGTTAGATGCTGTGTTGTTGCAATGTAAGGATGAAGAAATGGCCTCACTTTTTGCAAGTTTTACTTAAATATTATTGAAAAACTTTTAAATTAAAACTCCAGTTACATCCATTAAAAATCAATTGAAAAATTAAATATTAGAATATTTAACTTTTATTTATATAATACAGAATTTTATTTTTATATAATTTTTATTCATATATAAATTTTATTTTTTAGTAATCACTTGTATATATATTTATGTATTTATACACTTATATATATTTATATACCTTCGTGTACTTTTAAATTGTTCATTTTCTTTTTCTGAATGTAACAACAGAAGGTGGAAAAATATATCTGATATGGTACAAAACATTTTGAATCTTTTCATGACTGATGAGTTACAAATGAATTGTTGTCGTTCTGGGAAACGCTCAAACAAATATTCAATTGAGGCTTTTGTAAAGTTTATTGCAAGTAAGTAAAGTATTCCATTAGCTCCTGTTCAAAGGCTTTGCAAAAATGCTACAGACAAAGATGTCAATGAAGCCATCACCGCTGCACGGCATAACTCAGCAGATCGTGGTAATAGACGTATGCATCGAGAAAATAATGAATAAATAAATTTAATGGAAAGTTATTGTATACTTATATGTTTGTAAATGAATTTATAAAAAAAAGCAAGAAACATATTATTTTTCATATATATAAATATATATGATTTGAATGTTGACATCTTGTATGATAGTATATAGGGTAGATTTGGGTAATATGAGCACCTTAATCAAAAATCGAAATATTTTCAAAAGTAAATATGTTGGATCCAAAATTTTTGCAAATAAACAATTTTTAGGGATCCTATTCATAATCTATTTAGATATTTGGGCACTTGACATTTTTTCTTAAAAACACAGAGGTTTTAAAAAAGTAGCAAAAGTGCTCGTATTACCCTGACCCCTTGGTAGTATGAGCACTTTAAATTAGCTCAAAAAAATAGCATTAATTAAGTAAAAAAAGACCAACCTGCTTAATAGAACTAATTGTTGGAATATAAGGGTTCGTGATTAACAAACATATCATTAAAAGATCAAATTTTAAGCTAGATTTTGTTAAAACAATACTACTATGTTTTTGCGCAAAAAAAAAAAAAAAAATTAATACATTGTTTTTTCAATTTTGTTAACTCAAACCTTCGAACAATAAAAATTAAAATTTTTTTGATTTAAATTATAGAAAAATATTTAGTATTGTTAATATATTAAAATTTTTTACTATGTTTTGTTTTTATTCAAGAAGCAATTAAAAACCACTGCTATTTTAGGACTTTAAACTAAGCAATTTCAATTAAAAACACTGGGTTATTTGAGCATGCTCATATTACACAAAAATGGTATCTTTAAATAAAGTCAAAAATAAATGTTTCTGTGCATTATTTTTCAGACAAAAATGAATTGGATTTTTAGCTAATATATTTTTTTTTATGAAAAATTAATTTCATTATTTCAGCACCAAAATATCGCGCTAGTTCACTGCTTACATCTAATAAATCTTTAAGTATGCTCATATTTCCCTAATCTACCCTATGTTAAAAATATAAAAACATCAATTAATACGAGTTCTCTCAATACTATTGTTAATTTGAAATAATAATAGTATTGAGAGAACTCGTATTAATTGATGTTATTATATATATATATATATATATATATATATATATAATATATATATATATATATATATATATATATATATATATATATATATATATATATATATATATCAATTCTCCTGTAAAAATGTGTTGCGACTTTCGTTCTTTTTTAGAGTGGTTTTGAGCGATATAAGTATTATAGCTACACGTTAAAAAGATTGGAAGCATCTAAGCATCTAGGGGCCACTCCAACGCCGTCCCATAATGTGGAGTGGTAAATATACGGCTAATGTATGCTTCCCACACGTGGGCCACATGAATCTTTGCGCACAAATGAAGCGTGGCTTATGTTCTTATTTAGTGTGGTTTTAGTGGGATAAACATTATAGCCACATATGGGACGCATCAACGCCATCTCATAAAGGAGAGTGGTAAATATATGGCTAACATGTGTTTCCCACACGTGGGCCACATGAAACTTTCACGCACAAATGAAGCGTGGCGTTCGTTCTTATTTAGTGCGGTTTTAGTGGGATAAACATTATAGCCACATATGGGACGCATCAACACCATCCCATAAAGGAGAGTGGTAAGCATGTGGTTAGAACGCAAATGCCATATATAGCCCACATTAAAATTTCTTTTCGGGTTGTAATTTTTTTTATTACAACTTTTTAACTATAGTTTCATGTTTATCTGCAACAACTGGTATGTCTAAAAACTATTACTTTTTAATGTGTGAGCATTTCTCAGCAATTACAATATCTTTAAATAACAACTTTTTCTATCTTTAGTTCCACCTGGTCAACCTTCTGCTGGTAAATTTATGTATTAAAAATGTATCTGAATGGTTATCAAATTTTTATTATTCCTATTAACATATATTGTTTAATACATTTATATTGTGTTCTCATTTGAATTCTCATTAAAAAAAAATCAGAACTTACAGGACCCAGTATCCAGGACTCACCAGCAACAAGTCATAGTTGCGTTGGGTCCGGTTTTAGAGCAAAGATGACCCCCTTTTTAGATGGCCCTATTATCTTCCAAACAGGGATGCTCGGGACAGCAGCAGAGGTACTGAAAGTGTTGTTCCAGAAAAGGTCGACAAAGGCGGAATGGTGGCAGTCATTATGTTAACTTCAGTATAAACAATTAAAAGTTAACATGGTGCCACTATTCCTTTATTTTTATGTAATTATACAATATTAGGTATATTGTTTTCTTTATTGTCACAATTTTTAAATCAAATTGTTCTTGGCATTTTTTTATTTTCATCTAAGATTTTTGCCAATATAATTATAAAAAAGAATTTTAATAACTAATAAGTGTAGTAGTTGCAATAAATATTTTGCATGTTTCAATGTTTTATGTGATAAAATAAATTTAAAAGTGGTACCCATAGATAATTACCACTTTCAAATGCAATAAAGTGTCATAAGAATTTAATAACCTATATTAAATGCAATTTTTTTTATTTATGAGTATCATTTTAAATATTAAGTGCTATTAAATGGTACAAACATGCAAATATGGTACAGTAAGTTTTATAGCTTGCATAATGAGTACCGCAAGTTTTGTAGCTTGCAAATATGGTACAGCAAGTTTTATGGCTTGCAAAAATAGTAATATTAAAAAAAAAATGATTAATATATTAAAATGAATGTTAAAAATGATTTAATTTTGCTTCCCAGCCAACAAATAACGTTGAAATAACGTTGAAATATCGTTGAAACCTAACGTTGAATTAACGTTGGTTTAACGTTTAGAATGAAAGATTTTTTCAACGTTGATTTATCAACGTTAAATCAACGTTAGGTTCAAACGTTATATCAACGTTGATTCGACGCGAAAAAACGTTACAATAACGTTGAATTTACGTTGATTTAACGTTTAGAATGAAAGTTTTTTTCAACGTTGATTTATCAACGTTAAATTACCGTTAGATTCAAACGTTATATCAACGTTGATTCGATGCGAAAAAACGTTACAACAACGTTGAATTTACGTTGATACAACGTTTAAAATGATAGTTTTTTTAACGTTGATTTATTAACGTTAAACGACTGTAAAACAATTTTTCACCATCAAAACGTGCTATGTATGTCAAAATGTATATATGTATGTAAACGTGCTATGTGCGCAAAATATGATCACCATCAAAACGTACTATGCATGTACATTAGTGTTGCTGTACATTATCAAGGTATATTATGGATATTTAATCTATTCATAGTCTATACTTGAACTATTTAGAACTTTTTCAGTTTAGTTTAGTTAAAATAGCTAGATATGATTGAAGAAAGAGATAAAACTTTTTTTATTTAAGAATACATATTCAAATATTACATATATTTACATGTAATTGAATAAAATCTACACAAATTTCTTTTCTTTTCCACCACATTTTTGAAATAAAGCGTAATTTAGAAATTCAAACAATATTCCATTTACCGAGGGTCTTTTGGTCCATTGAATACAATATAAGAAAAAAATATATTAAAAAAAAAAACAAAAAGGGAAGATTTAAAAAATAAATAATCAATGGAAAAGTTTTACAACTTATAAAGGTATATCTTTTTCAACGCCATATAGATTAGTGTTTTTAAAACATACTTTTCCACCTTCGCTCTTCATATCCATCGAGGCCATATAACTTTTCGAAAATACTCTGAATTTAAAAAAAATAGTATAACTGTTAGTTGGTTATTAATAACTTTTTCAAATATTTAATTTAAATAAAACAACCTTTTTAATATATTAAAAATAAATTAATAATCAAAATTTAAAACATTTCTAGCATTGAAAAATAATTTTCTGAGTGGCTACATAAAAGTTTTTTAAGAAATTTTATGTGGCCATTTATTAATGGTTTAACGTCCATGTTTATACACTTATGGGGCATGGACAGGGATCAAATAATGTCATTTGTTATGTTAAATAGCATGCATTTTCTAAAGCAATTTTTTACAATTCCATGCACTTTAAGGCGTTAACCAGTTTTGCAGACCGAGAATGGGTATTTTGAACATTATACATCCATCAAAAATTAAAAAAGAAAGAATTAATGAGGAGCTTTGATCAAATTTTTACCTCTTTAGAGGATAATAGAGGATTTTAGAAGTGGTTTTAAAAAAAGAGGACTTTAGAGGATTTTAGAGGAGCTGCAGACACCCTGATTATATATGAGGTAACTCCACCAATTATCTGTAATTGATTTATCTGTAAAAAAAACATGAAGTAAATCTAATATTATGCTTGTGGAGATATATTATATTGTGGAGAACCATCCAAACCACACAAGTGGAAAATTTGTATCCAAGTTTCCACTTGTGTGCAAATCTTGCACCCACTAGTCAACATTCTCATTACAACATTTTTCTTTTGTAGTTGTGAATTTAAAATTTTCACAATACTGTTTGCTTTCTTTTAGAATTGAAATAGTTATACAAATAGTTATATATTTTGTATCAACAAAATAACTCTTCTTACCACATTATTTAAAAAATAATAATTGTAATATATAGATGTAATACCTGAAGAGAACTTAGTTTTTATTTGTATAAACTGAAGCCAATTCTTCTCTGCATTTTAGTGCAGTCATTGCTTTGGTACCTGGAAGCCGACAAACAGTTTTATCACTAATCCAATCAGATGGAATTACTTCTTCTTGTAAATCTTCATTCCAAACAGCTCCTTTCCGCATATTCGATTTTGAAAATTCGAATTCAAAATTACATGAACTAATATAAAATGAAGAAACCATAATATAAGTGTACTAACAGGCCTAATTAAACTAGCTAAATTTGAACATTTTATAACCATGATACTTGCTAAACAATAATATTAGTAGATATTATAAGCAAAGATAAGATTTTCTTTATTTTATAAATTTATTATATTTTAAACTCATTTTTATTAATTTATTTATTACTCTATTATTCAGCAGAGTTCTGAATATATTATGTTCAAATAACTTAAGGCTCAATAACAAAGACAAATAATGAAAGAATACTAGGTTGCTAAAA